TGTGGTGTGGTGGGTTTTTGGGGGTGTGTGTGTGTGTGTGTGTGTGTGTGTGTGTGTGTGTGTGTGTGTGTGTGTGTGTGTGTGTGTGTTGCATACATAATGGTGCATGAACAGAGGTCAGAGGGCAACTTGTGGACATCAGTCCTCTCCCTCTGCTATGTGAGTCCCCCATCTTGAACTCAGGCCATCGGGCATGGGCAGCTTCCTTTACACACCAAACATCCTGCTAGCCCCCGCGGACATACAAGGGACACTACCACCTGCCTGGTACATCACTTTCAGTGATAAGCAAAATAAAATACTTCTTTTTCCAGGAGACTAAATTGACTTTGAATGGCCTGTGTAAGCATAAGAAACTAAATTAAGCAACAGTAGGCAACTTTTTTTTTCAATAAGGCAAAAGGTAATCACTTGATTCGTAATTTCTATAAAAAGAGTTGGGGACAACCACTTCCCTCACCAAGCCTAGAATAATTACAATTGTGTAATTACTAGTTGTAATTTCTAGAAATACATTGTGTGGTTGGGGCAGGGTCTCTCTATATAGTCCTGGATGTCCTAGAACTCACTATGTAGATCTGGCTGGTTCTGAGCTCACAAAGATCCACCTGCCTCTGCCTCCTGAGTGCTGGAATTAAAGGCACCTTTAGAAATACATTTGTATCTATGGACAAGAAATACTTGCTTCATAAAAGCCTGCTGGACAGTACCACAGATGCCTGCAAACACTGCAATATTACAATTGGAAGAATAAATCAGATAAATAATGACCATCCAGGATTTTAGCCTAGGCAGGATTCTTAGGATTTTATAAGTCTGTTCTCCCACGCCAAATATAAAGTGGAGATTTCCCTGTGACCATTTTTTTCTTCATTGCAGCCGGTTTCTACAGACTTTGCTCAGTACAACAGCTATGGAGACGTCAGCGGCGGAGTTCGAGGTGAGGCTCTATAGGGCTCTAACCATGACAGTGTCTTTTCTTGTGACCCTGGTTCAGGAGAGGCTACGTAATCACCAGTATACGTCCTGTGTTCACGCTTTGTGCATCCCACAGGGGGGGCATGGCTCTCTTCTCTGAGCTGATAGCAAGCACAAAAACATCAAGAGAGTCTCTGGATCAGTGGTTCTCAGCCTGTGGGTTGAAACTCTTTTACAGGGTCACCTAATACCGTTGGAAAACACAGATATGTACATCATCATTCATTACAGTAGGAAAATTACAGCTATGAAGTAGCAATGAAAATAATTTTATAGTTGGGGGTCACCACAACACGAAGGATGTTATTAAAGGGTTGCAGCCTTAGGAAGATTGAGAACCACTGCTCTAGATAAATACAAGCATGGGAAACCAGTATCTACTCATTCATTCACTGTCCTTCTACACACGGAGCACTCTAATGAAGGAGGTGTAGCACCAAGTGAAGAGTGCCCACTGTCCCCAAAGGGTGTGCGGTGACAATATAGAGGAAGGGTGTTTGAATGATGCCTCAAGTTGAAGCAGGCATTTCCTGGCTCCAGTGGAAACCAGCGGCTCAGAGCATGAACTGACTAGGAGCATGGAAAGAGCACAATTTGTTGGGGATGTTTTGGAAGCTATGGTGAAATACCGTGTTGCTGTTGGTGATTTCGTGGTTTTCTCATGGTCTTTTCCTAATGAATTTTTTTCCTTTTTTTCAGATTACCAGGTATGGATGGCTTTGTCTTCCTTGAGTTGGCCATATCAGACAGAACGCTTACTCACCAGTCTGTGCTGCTGCTTCAGGGGAATGGTTACTGTTGGGAGGATGGATATTGTGGTTGATTCTCTAACTGTTACTCCGTAGCTGGAAGGAGCAGGCATGCCTAGTAGCCTGGTCAAGCTGTCACTGCAGACCTTTTGGGTAGGGCATGAGCTGGCCAGGTGTGGGAGGGTTCTCTTCTCCAGCTGCCCTGAGTCTGTCCAGGGTAGAGAAAGTGACCTCATGGGCATGGGTGAAGATTTTTAAAGTTCTCTCAATGCTTAGTTGCAGCATTTTCTTGGTTTTGTCCCCAAATGAAATGAAACAGGACTCTCAGCCACTGGGAAAGAACAGTTTGCTCCCAAACCCTTCCTTTTCATCTTGTAAGCCTGGGAGGGGGAGTGAGAAGGGAGAATAAATCCAAACTAAGATAAAGAATGAAAAAGATAAGAGGGTGTGGTTTTGTATCCTGTAGTCTCGGTGCATCTGAGGCAGAGGACTCTATAGAATTCAGGGCCAGCCTGGGCTACAGAAAGAGACAGACACAGAAGGAAAACAGTGGAAATAGACCTGATATATATATCCCTCTACTCAGGCAGCCTAAATCAGGAAATATTAATCCATGATCTTTCTCCAACTTGATGACGGGCTGTCCCTCTGACTGTGTAAGGATCTCACTTTGAGAAATACACAGTAGTGAATAGGACATGACAGGAGGATCTGAGACTCAACAGGGAAGTCAGGGAGCACTCACACCCTCCCCGGGCTTCGGCTGAGAGTCTATGCTCCCCACCGAACAAGCATTTCTGTTGCAGACCCTCCCAGATGGCCACATGCCGGCAATGAGAATGGACCGAGGTGTGTCCATGCCCAACATGCTGGAACCAAAGGCAAGTGTGACGGTTCCTTTCCTCTTGAACACAATTGCATGCAGTAGAGAGCTGTGGTTTCCTATTGGTTTGCTATGTTCAGGGTGTAAGGGCCACCTGGTCCCAGGTAGGCACACCCTGACAGGCTCGTCTTAAAGTGTTGTGTGTCACACTTGGTCTGCAGGTTTAAACCTTGACTGCCCACAGTGAGGTACCAGCACCCACTTCCCTATGACCCCGGTGTGACCTTGACACCCGCCACATGCATTTCAAGGCATGTCCAATGCTGAGTGGAATGGCAGAAGCCTGGTCCAGCTTTTGTGACCAATATCTCCTAGTTTGTCAGAAGTTTCTTAGTATTTGTAACAAACATCTTGCATACCACGTCTGATTAGTCTTGGACAAACGGACATGGCTGGCCATCCTAGTTCCAGAACATTCTGTATCTGGCTGCCAGGCATGACGGAGCACACCTTTAACCTCAGAGGTCAGGAGGAGGGGGCAGGCTGAATGGTCTGAATCTGAGGCCAGCTCCATCCACATAGTGAGTTCTAGGCCAGCTCCTTTCACATAGTGAGTTCTAGGCCAACTAGAGCTACATAGTGAGACCCTGGCTTAAAAAAAAAAAAAAAAAAAAAAAAAAAAAAAAAGCAAAAGTGGTGTCCAGAGACTTGATCTCCTTGAGACCTGTACTTGGAGCTCATTTCAACATGTCAGCTTCCAAAACACTGTTTTGGGGCCTGGTTGGCTGTGTGAATTCACAAGTCTGTCTTAGCTAAGAGTGCACAAAGTTGTCCTGTCACCTAACAGCACCATGTAGAGCCAGCACATGTGCCTGCCACTTCAGGTCTCTGCTAACTTTGTCCTTCCTGACTCGTTCATGGTAAGTTAGTATTCTTACACTCAGAGCACCATTCCCAAGGCATAGTGCAACGTGAGTCACAACACTGGAGGGTCTTCATACCTACTCTTGCTGCTATCTCTATCATGGGTGTGCTGGGCTTTAGGTTGTGTTTATGAATTAAATGATAATGGTGTTCTAGACAAGGTGTTTTTCTTTCTCAGATATTTCCATATGAAATGCTCATGGTGACCAACAGAGGGCGCAACAAAATCCTAAGAGATGTGGACAGAACCCGGCTGGAGGTAAACAAAACAAAAACTTAACCTCAGTTAAAGATCCCTGTACATAACCCACAGCGCGCGCGTGTGCGCGCGCGCGCACACACACACACACACACACACACACACACACACACACACCAGGGTACCTCTGAACAGATATAAATGTTTATTTCCAGGGGAAACCTAAAGTCGTGGGGACAAAACAAAACAAAACATAAACAAACAAAAAACCCAGTGTCACTGTCACATTATAGGTGGACAGAGAGCTAACTAAATCGTTGAGGATCTCCAGGAAATAAAACCATGGGATTGGGAGTTTGTAGCCATCCTGTTGTCGTTCCCATTAGAACTCAGCACTCCCTTAGATGTCTGAAGGTGGGGAAGGCGGTGCCATTCTCAAAGTGTCTTCAGGAAAGAGAGAAAATAGGATGCTCCCACACCCAATTAGCTTCACAGCAGGCGCTCCCTGGCTCCAGAGAGGCCAGTGGTCCAATGTATGCGCCCACATCTCAGCCCACAGTTAGATCAGTGTGTAAAGTGCCTGGTCAGATTTGTAATGCCCTAGATACACAGTGTGGGTCCATTATGTTTTTTGGAAATCAGATGCTGGTGTGGTTAGGGCTACAGTTGTAGCATGGGCATCTCTGTCACTCCTAAAATATTTCCAGGTCCATGTCTGCCCCACCTTTGTACCTTTTCATATGAATGATTTTCTTTTTGTTTGTCTTGTTTTTGTTTTTCAAGACAGGGTTTCTCTGTGTAATCCTGACTGTCCTGGAACTCACTCTGTAGACCAGGCTGGCCTCGAACTCACAGAAATTCACCTGACTCTGCCTCAGGCTATCTCAGAGGTCAGGCTATCTCAGATGATTCTAGCCCATATTAAAATGGAAGATAAAACCAATGGGAGACAAGCATCCTTCTCTCCTGTTACTGGTCAGGAAGTTATAGGACTCTCCCAAGGAGCACCCTGGAAGCCCCTTTCTCTGTGGCTGTTACTATAATCATCTGTTATTCTGTTTCCAGTATGACAAGGACCTGAAGTTATAGCAGCCACTTCCAGCATCACAAATCACCTTCCTATGCCCAATGGCTAGCCCCACACTGAAATATAACGGTAGTGGCAGTTGTCTACCAGCTGTTTCCTCCAGTGGAGAGGACACCGTAACTGGCCATGTGTGGGAAACAAGTGCCAGAGAGAGATAGTTGCCTCTTTCCCAGCCTGACTGGCTTTTCCGCATGGATGTCAGTGTTTCTTGGTTTCTGCAGAGAATCCATTCCAGGATACTCTCCCCCAAAAGATGACAAAGTTTGCAAGTACTTCCCCGAGTCTTAGCGTGTGCGCTATGTATTTATGGGTTGACTGCACACATCATATTTCATGCCTTAAGTCATCTCTAGAGGATGTACACTGCTGAGCACAGACTAAATGCTATGTCTGTAGTTGCAGCACTGTGTTGCTCAGGGTAGAATGACCAGGGACACTGTCAGTACATGCTCAGGTCAGATGTAGTTAGGGAAGGGACACTTTTGATCTAAAGTGGATTGGATTGGGGATGCATAAGCCACAACTATGGAAGGCTGGCTGTATTCATAAACCAGAAAACACAGCTCAGGGCTATTGCTGTGGTCATTAGGACTAATGCCTTCTTGCTTCTCTCTTACCAGCGCCACTTAGCCCCAGAAGTATTTTGGGAAATCTTTGGGATGTCCATACAGGAATTTGACAAGTTACCTCTTTGGAGACGCAACGACATGAAGAAAAAGGCTAAACTCTTCTAAGTACCCGGAATAAGTGACAATCAGGACAAGGACTTTCAGTGGCAGTGGTGCCTAGAACGTCGTATTGAGGCCTAGAATCATTGATCAGAGAATTTATTTGCTACCATCTCCCAGCAGCAACACTGAGGGAAAATCTGATCTCAGCACCCACCCATGAACCAGATCCCTGGTCAAGCAACAGTAACATTTGCTGAGCAGCAACGGGGTAGAGATTTGTGTGTTCCCAAACTCAGCACTAACATCCACACGTGACTAGGTCCACACTGGGGCTCCTTTCGCCTTTATTTTCCCCTTTAACGGATGTCTAACTTAGTGCTGCCTATACCTGTAAGAGCCGGAAGTGCCCTTAGGAAGCCACACGGGAAGGAATGGCAGGGAGTTCTGAAGTATGGATCTATTTATTTATGTACCACTGTGGCTGAGGAGGAGAGACCAGCATTGATACGGTAGCAACAATTTAGTCTTTCCTTGGCAGCCACCCTCTGCTCTGCCTGGGCTCTGGAGGAATGGAACTCCCTAGGGAACCAGGTAGTTCTGAGCACTCAGCTGAGTACCAGCAAGAATGACTTGAATACGCTCCTGTTCCCTTCCTGTGTGCCAGGACCTGGTTGGTCAACTGCTAGGGGGAAAAATTAAGAGATAGGAAAAGGAAAAAGAAATGAAGGAAGCCCCACCCCCACCCCTCCCTGGACTTTTTTTTCTGCCTCTGACAATGTGCTCAGTTCTTTCTCCTATAAACTGACAGGAGCTGGTGTGCTCATCTTTGCAAAGAAAGGAAGGGCAAAGTGAGTTTCCAGATTGGTCTGGCTGCTGGTGGGTGGTTGTTGCCCATGGGTCATGTCTCTTAGAGAAGGAAAATCTGTACCCTGCCACTGTCCCAAGTTTTTTCCCCAGGTGTCCCCTGCTGTCCATGTGGCATCTTGTAGGTCAGGTCAAGCCCATGCTAGTATGTTGTTTTAAGGGCATAGACTAAGGGAAGACATGCTTTTCTCCTTCAGATCTCTGCAACTCTGAGGTAGATTGCTTCAGACAGATTTCATGTGGCCTGGTTTATGCCCTGGCACAACTGATGTGAACATGTGTGCTGGTGCCTGCGTGTAACTTGCCCAGGGAAGTTTTGTGAGTCTGTATGTGCTTTGTACCCTCTGTTTGAATGTTTACCACACTGTGCTGTGGCTTTGACAGGGCCTTGGCACAAGAGCACGTGACCCAGATCAAGAGTGAGGCTCTGGAGGGTGCTTAGGGACCAGCATATTCTGTGAGCTGTAGAAACTACACTGGGTTCACACTACAAAAGTGAGGCCAGGGTAGTTTAGGGCTCGCTAGACTCCTTCCATACTCTACAACTCTCAGTACAAGTTGGAACTCAGTTCTTTCATTAAAATTCGTGAACAAATGAGGCCACATCATAAGGATGATGAGTCTCTCCAGAAAGGAGGATAGGTCCCCTTGATTCTTCTGCTCTGGTCTCTGAGTTAAAGCCAAGAGGGAAAGCATTTGAATTCTTCTCAATCACCTCCCAGCACAAAATGCAGGAACTCCTTTGAGGATTAGTGTGACTGGCTGTTTGCTGACACCAGCAACAAAGAGCAAGACACATAGATCTGGAGAAGTACACTCACAAGTCCACATATGTTGACCTGCTAACACAGTTAGCAAGAGAGCCGTACTGCCTGTACTGCATGGCCTGAGTAGATGGGCCCAGCTCCTCTCGGTTGGGAGGCAGGTTGCAAACGGTGGGCTCCCCCTGCAGGGTTCTCACTTCTTGCCATTTTTATTGTTTTGCTCTCGCTGTCCTGTCCAGCACTGGCTGCCTCAGCACAAGGCTCATGTCACCCTGGCAGTGTGCAGGATGGAGAGGAGGATACTCTTGGTGTTTCCCTTTGAGAGAGAGCAGAGGTGGCTTGGTGGGTGACTCTGTTTATGCAGTATGGAGATAGTAAGTGGCCCACCACTTGCTATTAATCTGCACTGGTTAACATGTTACTACACACAATCACGCAGCCAAGAAAAACCACAGCACTCTGGAGACAGAGGCTTATGCTAAGTTTCTGCACCTGCTCTGCACAAAGCTAATGTGGCTCTTTCTTGACATAGGAAGATCCAGCTGCAAGGAGTAGGGGATAGTGTCAGTCCTGCTCTTTAGTTACAGAGGACTTTGAGTGGGTTAGAGGACCTGCCTAGGATGCAATGGTAACTGAAGAATCGAACTCCCAAGTTCTTGCAATAACAAAACAACAATAACAAAAACATTGGAACTCAGTTCCCCATCTAACTTGGGAAAAAAATTTTCATTTCATATCAGCATACTAATTCATTTAAATTGTATCATGTAAAAATAATGCTAGAAAACACTGTTAGGACCCCGGCAGCCCTGGGAAAGGAGTGTGGGAAAGGCCAGGGTCTCACTGCATTCCCCTGCAGATTCCAGTCAGAAAGATACAGGGAGGATGATCCGGTTCCAACTGCCAGATCTCAGGTTTGGGCTGTGGCATCCTATCTGTGACATTAAAGGGAGCCACGTGACTTACCTTGAACACCCAGGCCACAACACAGGAGATGCGTGTTCTTCACAGTACCCCACCCTGCTGAACACAGGAAAATTCCAGTTGCTAAAAATCAAAGCAGCTTCTTCACTTGGGGGAGAAGTCTATGCATGGCAGACTTGGTGCGTATATTAAGGGCTATGTTTTTTAGCATTTGACTTACGTGTGACTTGAAGTGCATACAGATTGCATGGCCTGGAAGGGCTTCTGTGGCCACATGGTAGCCTCAGTCAGTGCTTCCTTCAAAACTTCTCCAAGAGAGTCCAGACTCTCATGTCGTCTTCCTGTGCAACTTATCAGTGATATGAAAAGCCTTTGAAAACAGCTAGCTCTGCATTTTCATACTCATGTGGAGTTTGTTATAAAAACATTTTTAATATGACTCCTTCAACAACTAAACATGAACTGCCTGTTCTCTGAAACCCCAAAGAGAAAAAGTGCAGTTAGTGGGTTCTAAGGTGCAAAAAGGGGGGGAGGGATAGTTTTCTATCTGTTCTGTCCTTAGTTCTCCCCAAGTCCTGATTCTGTTGCCTCCAGCCTGAGCCTTCTCTTCGGTGGCACCCCCCCACCTTTGTCATTTCCATCTCTGTCTACACTCAGTCACCTCCAGCGTGGAGAGGTTCAGCTGGTGATGTTTCTAAAATAGACTTATTTACTTTGAAGCAAACATCTTTTTCTAAAGATAGTTTCACCAATGATGCTGTCAAATGTATCTGCTTTTGCAAGTTTAACAGACCTCTTTTGAGTCTTTGTTTAAAAAGAAAAAAAATCTCATGCAAACTTAGAACTGGCATCCCAGGGCATGCTGCAGAAGCTGGCATGGCTCCAGGCTGCGTGTTCCAAGGACCCTGCTCTGAAATATTTCCAGTAGCTGTTTGATCTGTGCTGTCTGTGCCCTCCTCAATTTTGAGTCACATTTTTTCTTCTTTAGACAAGCCAAGGCTTTGTATGCTTCAAATTCACTCTTTTGTGCCCCCTTTGAAGAAAATTTCTACCCAGAAAAAGATGGTCAGGGTTTTGGATTATGTTTCCCAGTGGCGATGAACAGGGAAGGAACACGGCCTCTACTGGAACAGGAAAATGAGCAAGCCCTCAGCATCTACAAGATTGCGGTTTCCATTTTCTCCCCAGGGAGCAGAGGGAGGTGGTGACAAACAGACACTAGGTTGCTGTCCCTTCTGGGTTTAATGCTGCTGCTGCGGCAGATTCACAAAGACAGGGACAAGTGTTCCAGCTGAAGCTTTCTGAGCCGTGAATGTGTGCAAAGAAGTTCAGGCAACCCAACTCTTTCTCCCAGAAGCTTCATGCAGCTGAATGGCAGGTATCATGGAATAAAATGCTTTTCTGTGTCTCTTCCAAGAGTGACAGTCCCATGAGTGAAAGAAAGAGACAAGCCTGTGTATATTGACGCTCAGAAAGGTTGTGATTATACATGCAAATATCTTACCTACGGAAGAGGAGACAGTTGTCCACAGAATTGATGTTTTGCCGGGGGAGGGTCTCTGTACAGCTGTGTCTGGTGGTAAATGTGGAGGTCTCCGTGAGATGCCAAAGACCCTGCATCGAATCTCTTCTAATTTGGTTATTGGGATTACTTTGACCTGATGAAAGGCCTGCCCCTTCTTCCTCCCTTCCCTCCCCTTGTTGGTGATACAAAAGCAAATGTTCAGAAGTTTTTGAGAAGCTGTGCTGTGTTCCCTGTGGAATCGAGCTGGCGTGTGTCGGTGCCTGAGCACCTGGTGCTCTGGTGCAGAGGAGAGCTCGGCTGCAGGCGCCCTGTCCCTGAGCTGCGCTTTCCCTGCTCTGCACTCCTGTTGCAAGCAGCACACACCACTCTCCTCATCACTGTACCCAACTCTGTGAATAAAGCTACGTGCTTTCTCCTTGAGCGCCTCCGGCACTGTTTTGTTTCCTGCTTCCACTGGTCATTTTGAAGGTTTGTCCTATTTTCAAAAGTTTCTGCCAACTTCCTGGAACCAGAACAAAGAGAGAAGCCAAAAAGATACATCTGGTTGGTTTTCTTTATATATGTGTGCACATGTGTAAGCATGTACAGGTGTAGTTGGTGTTAGATCCCCTGGAGCCAGATGAGTTTCTAGGAACTGAACTCTGGTCCTCTGCAAGAGCAGCACATGCTCCTAAACACAGAGCCAGCTCTCCATTCCACCTGGCGTTTTTCCCTTCATACTCATTGGTGACAGGACATGGATCAAATAACACAAGTATTTTCCAGAAGTTTGTCCAGTCATTCAGGCTGCAATGACAAAGTTGACTAGAGATAAATTATCAACTGGTGTCTTAGGGTTTCTATTGCTGTGAAGAGACACCATGACTGCTGCAGCTCTTGCAAAGGAAAACATTTAATTGGGGCGGCTTATGTTTTCAGAGCTTTAGTCTATTATCATGGCTGAGGCATGGTGACACGCAGGCAGACATGGTGCTGGAGAAGGAGCTGAGAGTTCTACACATTGATGCACAGGCAACAGGAAGTGAACCGACTCACAGGGGTAGCTTGAGCATAGGAGATCTCAAGGCCCGCCCCCACAGTGACACACTTCCTCCAACAAGGCCACACCTCCTAGTAGTGTCACTTCTTTGGGGGCCATTTTCTTTTGAACACCACAATGGGTACTCGGTGGCAATGAGGATGTGAAAAGCCCTGGGTTCGAGACCCATCCACAAAAAGCATCTAGTTGTGATCATATGCTGCAGCTAGAACGGATGCTTGTGTATTTGTGACACAGAGGTGACAATCTTAGATCAAACTGACTTGAGGATAAGACTTGCTGAGCCACTGTGAGCATGGGCCATGGCAGTTGCCTAGAACACAGTGGGGGAAGCGTCTTCCAATCCCCCTCCTTGTTATCAACCTTTGTGTGAAGAAAAGCTCCCTCACCTGGGAGCCAGAGACAGGCTGGTTGGTTCGCTGCTCTCAGGGAACCATCTTAAGGTCCACCCAGCTTGGCTTCCACTGGCACCAGTGCCTATCCCTAGCTTCACCACCAGGGGTCGCCTGTAGTTCTTGTCATGCCCTCCTGGTGTCACTGGGCTCTGGTGGCCACCTGTTAGTGTAAGTTGATGAACAACCCTCACAGCAAGGTTCACTTCACACAGAAAGATGTATAGTGGGCAGTGGTCAAGACAAGGCCACC